GGAAAAAATCCACCATAAGACTGGTACCTGTTGTTCAGAAATTCTCAGCTGGAAGTACGATCGAACACAGTCCTTGCAGAAGATGTGATTGCACGGAGAAAATTTTATGCATTCAAATCCTTGTTTAATATCATAACAAACCTGAACAAGACAATATAATGTGCTGTCTTAAAATATGTGTTTATAAGTAGCAAATTGAACTGCATCTAGGGCGGACTTTGGCCTAGGCTGACCTCGGATTCCAGTGAGCCACAATGGCTTAGCCAGTAAGTCTATGTAAGTAAGTAAATTAAACTGAATTATGGTGGGCGATTCTGATGACCATGTTCAAGATTCCCAATATGTACGTAAATAATAAACGTAGATTTATCGTTACTACTCAAAGATCTACCACTACCTATCCACTTCTAAAATTGTTTTACACCTCGTCGGAGTTGCCTGGATTGCTGGGCATCAGAATGAAATGTACAGCAAAGGGTTCATCTTCTCAGAACGGTCTCCCAAACTCAGGAGTTCGACATTTCTCTTCGGAAATCCTGTTAGAAGTGAAAAAAAACCGCGGAAAAGCCGGTGGGATATCCGCAGCTACATTTTTGATAAAGAGAGTGAAAATGAAAGTGAGATATGAGGCTCTTCATGTCCCCAGAACTAGGAGAAAAAAGTGAATAGCGCTGACGACCTACAAGAGTGATTGCAGACTTAACTGATGTCAATTCTGTTTTTCGATGACGAAAAGAATTAAGAGAATTGATGAGTAAATGGCAAGGACGAAAAGCAAAATAAGAGTCATTCAACACCAAACTCTATCGTTTTCACATAAAAGGGTCTCCAACATTGTAGGGGGACGGTTTCTAGGTGTAAACTCAGAGGCACTTTGATCCTCACCTAATCACTGCCAAAAAACCGATGTAGGCGCCGATAATGTTGTTCACTTCGTTCGATGATCCCCGGAGACTAAAGCGCTTTCCTTGCGTATACGTAGCAGCGGTAAAATTCACGGAGAGCTTAACACTTTTGCATTAACTTTGCAGCACACTGCAAATCTTCAGAAGAGGCGCGTGTGACGCAGTTGTCATAGATGTTCTGTACTACAAACAGAGCCGTTGGTCTGATCTCGCATCTCAGGCAAACTATATCCTTCATGCCAGGGAAAACAGCAGAATTGTTAGACTTTGTAAGAGGATAAAAATAGTGACTTGAAAAATCATTAGCCCACCAAAAGTTATAGTTTGGACCAAACATGTATTCAACCATATCCAGGATGCTTAACGAAGTGGAAGGCATAAAGCATCTCTAAGAAACTTTTCAGTCCCAAGTACCTTTTTCCACTTATAATTTTACTTTGCAAGAACATTCCAACCTTGGAGAGTATCGGGATAAGAAGCGCATTGTAATGAAGCATGTGACCAGACGGTTAGACTTTTCCAAGATGGTGCTCTTCGGGCCTACATTCGAAAAAAAAAAGCGTTGCTCAAGGTCTTCACGCTAGAAAACACCTTCAATTACTACTCTGATTAACATCGCCTAAGAGTAAATCCGCTTTTGGCACCTCGATAGTTGTCATCTACAATGAGCCATCGAAAGGAGTTTAGAAAGCCGACGATTTTCATAAACAGCTGCTTCAAAATAGACACAAACAAGGCACAAATTTGCAGTTTCATCTCCATGACTCGTTTTAAGGACGTTAAGAAAAAAGTAAACTATCAAAGTAAGCCAGCCGACCTGAAGAGGTGGTTATGTTTTGTAATGGTGATAGTGAACGCTAGAAATATTTTAGACCTCACCTCACACTCATGGCAATGGGAATTGAACCATTTCGTCTGGTATTCCTCACATGAATCACGAACGATTTTTAAAAAGGCTGCACCAGAAAAACCCTAAATAATCTGCACTAGAAGAACAGACTACTTTCCCTATCGAATACGTTTAGTAGTAACTAAATAGGTTGTAAGCTTAGTAATTAGAAAATATTCCAAGATCCATAAGTAAAAAACCGTAAGCTTATAGCGAAAAAGTGGTGAGGGGTAGCGTGGATAATTTCCAAGAAACGGTATCGTCTTGTTAAACCACTTTCACACATCAATGAAGAAATTCCGCCTATGAATTTGGTACACAGATCTGAAAGATTTTTGTTTTCAGAGTAAGGATGTTCTGAGTGTCCACTAATCACTTTTATCGCATTAAAGTGTAAGGCCGAAGTTGGTAAAAGTTTCCTTGGAAGAGAAAGCGGTTTCTCACAGTCTCGCGATGCTTTGGTAGGTTCCTTTATCATGTAAATATGATCTCTAATTGCTGAATTCTTTTCGAAAGCCTGCTTATTCGCACGCCTGCCTTTCATCCAACATTCCATCAATTCTACCGACGACAATTGGTCAAAAGAAAAAAATTGTAAGGCAGATATTAAGACTGGATGGTAGTGCCAATGTTGTATGGGTATCTGACCGCCGTGCTGGCCTTCCACCAATTTGGAGCCTTGCCCTGTGAAAGGTTAGATGTAGGATGGCTGTAAACTCTCTAGATGTTAGAGTGAAATCTTACCCGGTCAAAGTGCTGCACAGTTCTGCACCGACAATACAAATTTTCAGATTTCCTAAAGGAGAAAAATTGGAGCTACCTATCCTACTCGACATAATACAGAAGTAGGTATACTTGACTTCAAAAAATTTTAGGTAAAATCTGTAGATCACTTTCACCAGCCCCTTTCTTGAATCAGTGAGTGTTCCGTATAGAAACTGGAAAGTTGCCATCATAGTTCCGTGATTTGACCAAGTTTAGGTAAGTGTTGCGGATGCTTGTGTGAATCCAGTTCTGATTCCCTCTCATTAAAATCCTTCCCGCTTCCTCGTAGAGTTTACAGTCTCAGATGCAAGCTGGTGATTGTCTATGGGATGTACAACCCCACGTTGGAGTATGATCTTCATGGCTTCTGCTTGTTGACAATCAATCGGTTTTTCAGAACTATAGCAATGTTGAATAGGTCGGTCGCTTTCCTTAAAAACGCTGTCCATACCGGTGTCTTCCTCTAATTCTTCAATTTTCCGAGTTTCTTTCATTTCTGCGAAGGAAGGAAAAATAAAGACTGTGTGAAGAAGACGATGATCCGATACATGCACAAAATTTTAAGAGAACTACGGCACCCATTAGGCAAAAGCTTCTATTTACTGTGAAGCGGTCCATTCACCACTGGAAGCCTACCATGGCTGACCTTGAGAGTGGAACCATGGGATCATGAGTCACCATGAGTGCTTTTGTTCATCGTGAAAAACCCATAGTTGTAATATTACTTACACTACTATTCGTGATCCCAATGTAAAGCTCTCCATGCTCCTCTCAAAACCGACTTCGGCGTTTTGTTCCCAATGTTAATCTTGTACAAAATATTATCCTTCTCACAAAACTTGATCTAGTCCTCTACGTTGAAATCCTCAGCTTTTTCCTTGTCAAAACTTAGTGTAAAGAGCTGAGCGATAACGATGTAAAATAAGCACTTGTCGACAATTTTTCAAAAGCAAACCTTCAATTTAAGGTTCACCTATTCAAAGGAATCGAGGCCTATCGCAAAACAAGAACACCAATGCAGCCGAATCCTCTACTATGGCATATTCAGAGGACCACATTTTCTGCGGTATCATGTACTGTGCCTAATGAACGATGCTTTCTTGTGCTGATCTATCCCATTACGTCGTACTTAATGATTATAGTCTGCATCCTATCTTTCCAAATGCCTATATTCTAACCCTGAATGGAAAGTGCAGATCGGGGTACAGAATGCGGAGCTATAGACCGTCGCCACTATCCTTTTCCAACTAAAAGGATCTAGAATGGCCTTGAAATAGCTTGGAATGACAATTTATTACCAGTTTCGTTGTTTTTTAAAACGACTTCAAAGCGTGTGTAATTTAAACGTCGTAGTGAAGAACATCCTAATGTGAGTTCTAGACATACACTAATCCAGCGTAATGAACAGAACATCAATAGATTTATTACACTTTTCGTAAATACGCAGATTTCCCGTCTTGCCGTAGGATTCGTTGTCATGTAACGAATAGCTACGGAGGTGGGAACACCTGTGCATTGAGTCGTTTAATTCTAGTATTGCGGACTTAGACTGTTTTTAGTAATCGGAGCTGATTTAGATCGCAAGGAAGCCTCCTCGCCTACGACTAGGATTCTTCAGGTCCGGTAGCGATTCCTGGGAACAGATTTTATAACTGATCGGTCGTGGACGATATTAAAAACTAAACGCCTTGGATATTACATCGTATATTATTCAAATTCCTCCCAACGGTTTATCGCGTAACCGTGGTTGTGAGGTGTTCTTGGGTGTCGAGCTGCGATATACAACGGGGAATCATCCGCTGGCAGGGTCTCCCAAGATGAGAAAGAATCCGACATTTCCATCTGGAAGCCCAACCAAGAGTGAAGCAATACCAGGATCCACCGCCGTCCTAGTATCAAACTTGTCGCGTGGTGGCAAATCTCCCCTGATCCACAAGGATGGATACAGCCTGTGGTGGTGAAGACCTGGGGCAGACCTTGGCCAGGCTGACCTCAGGACTCCAGACAACCACAAAGGCTAAGGCAGCAAAACTCCAAAAAGAAGAAATTATTCTGGAGCCCACACAACCAGTGAAGACGGGACATCCAAGTATCCAAGTAAGTAGTCAAAGAACTAAGGCAAGCTGCGGAACGGCATTAAATCACCGAAAAAGGCAAAACACCAGCATAACTCACACATTGGATACTGTAGGGATTATCGTCGAGACATATCTCACTTATTTCGCTTCTTCGACAAAGCTCCTTTATGCTTTCACAGGCCAAGAAAAGCAACGGAAATCCAACGTTTTCGCGTATTACTTCATCCAATTCGTGACGAATTTCGGTAATCTAAATCAAAATTTTCACCAATGGTTTCATCTTCACTTGCTCAATTTTTTTCCTACTTCCTTCTACTTTCTTCTATTCTTTCGCGTCTTCAATATTTGTAAATTCGCTCCTTATTAGTCAAAGTTTCTTACCCACTGACTGGATAACCAGGAACACTCAATGTCGAATTGCGCCGATTTCATTGGATAATCGACTGGTAGCTGATATATCAGCTGAACCGGTGACAGGTAGTTCGTCTCGAAATGTTTTTTACCTGAAACACTTCTGACGATGGAAGTTCAGTTACATTAAACAACCACACCCCGAATCGCACCCAACACCTTTGTAAACTACGGTCACCTTCAGAAGTCGTGACGAACAGTGTAATAGGAGTCTCGTTTGGTTCCAATTCTACTGTGATTCGTCCTCTAAGCAGTTCGCCGGTCCGATCAACTGTTAGCAAATTCTCTCCCAAACAATTAGCCACTGCTTCAAGCTCATCCTCTTGAATTTGACGGGAGGATGTCATAATAACATGACAGCCTTTTTAACAATTAAAACTAAAATGTTAAAATTTACTAAGAAAACGATGCAGAGATACGAATAAACAACTCCGAAATGCGATCCTACTCTCATTTAATGAGGAATAACGAAAAAATGAAGCAATACATTATAATTCCGATATCAAAACATTTACAACAATATGCGTTTATTTCAATGCATATGTGGCGAAAACTTGTCATCCTTCAAACATAGTTCAGCCCATAGTCGTTTTTAATTATTTAAAAATATACCGCTAAAATCAAGAAATCTTTGCCAACCAAGTATAAATTCGGTTGTTATCGAAGTAGACCACATTATAGTAAAACGACGATTTCGTCTAACGGATGTCGCCGTTGCCCTTAAATTCTGCATGGAACCAGAACATCGCCTCGTTCGTGCAAAGTTACAATTCCTGCGGAAAGTAGAAAAAGCCGCTTCATTCATTTAAAAAAGAAGTCCCAAAACCACCAGAAACTAGGATTTATTAAGCTCATTGGTCGGCTGCTGTGAAGATTTCGTTCTTGATAAAATCGACAAAGAATGCGACCAGCTTATCCAACATCTTCATGTTAGCACTGTGAAAGCTGACAGTTCGAAATTCAACAAGCGACGTCTGTTTCCAGAAACGGCGGAGCTGCTCCGCTAGTGTGGAATCGTACGAGCTACACGTAAACCCCAACTCATGTCAGAACTCAAAAAACAATGCAGACAGGCGACGAAAGACCTTAAAAAGAAAACAGCAGCAGTTTCAATCCAAGCTGCAGAGGATGGTAAGAGCATTCCCTAATCACATCGAAGCTTCCCCAATTACAAACCAAGATGATTGCACTCCAACGCCCAGACGGAAGCTGCAGCTGTCAGAAAAGCAATGGAGAAAATCACTCACAGTTATTACTCGGATCTCTTTAGTAGCCACGTCCTCCTATCCTCGGGTGATGTAAAGAAGGGTAGATTTGTCGTCTCACCGATTGTCCCCTCCGAAATCCCACATGCAATTTCATTGGTGAAAAGTCGAACGGCACCAGGTCTAGAGGTCAAGAACCTTTCGCCATTCTTCACAAACACACTGGCTCAGCTGTTCATATGTTACGTCCTGACCGCAAGCAAGATTCCTACTCAAAGGAAGACCAGTAGGACCGTGTTATTGCTAGAAAAGCTTGACCTCCATGATATCGGCAACTATTGCCCGATCAGCTTGCTGTCTGTAGTTTGCAAACTTTTCATTCGAGTAATCCTAAACAGGATTGACAGAACACTGGACGAAGAACAGCCAAGTGAGCAAGCATGGTTTCGAAAAGATTCAGCACGACAGACCACACCCACACTATAACAAGACTAATTGAAGTGTCGCAAGAGTACAAGACACCGTTCTGTGTCACTGAATATGACATGGTATGATATGATATGATATATGATTCAATTGGGATAGAAGCAGTCATGGAAACCGTTGATAGTTATAGAGTCCTTGCTCAGTATACAAAGATTTCTCGTGAGCTGTACAAAAATTTCACAACCAAGATATCACCATTCCACAACGATATTAACATCGACGTCAAAAAAGGGGTTAAGCGAGGCGATACCATCTCGCCAAAATTATTTACCGCCACACTCGAGAACGTCATGCGAACATTGGAATGAGTTAATATGGGAGAGAAAATCGACGGTCGGCAGTTAAACCATCTTCGCTTTGCTGATGACATCGTCCTTCTAACACCGAACATTAGCCAAGCAGAACTTATGCTTGACGACTTTGATAAAGCCTGTGGAAAGATTAGTCTTCGACTAAATCTCACAAAAACGATGTTCATGAAGAACGGATTGGTTTCGCATGCTCCACTCACGCTCAACGGAACGAACATCTTCGAATGCTCCAGTCATATCTATCTAGGTCGGGAAATCAATATAATGGACGATGTAGCTCCAGAGATGAGCAGGAGGAAGAAAGTGGCTTGGCGAATTCTCAGCAGCATCGAGGATGTCTGCCTCCTTAGCCACCTTTTCGATTTCACAATTCTTCCTGCCTTAATGTATGCGTTCGAAACCTAGTCGCCATGTAGGCAGGATGAAAGATCACTCAGCGTTTTAAACGCGCAGTCAAAAAGACGATGGTATAAATATCTCGCATCGCGAAAGAGAAAGAAGGGATCCGAAACACTGATCTATCTCATCGATGAAAAATTAAAGACACTGTTCTATAAGACAAACTGTCGACGATAAGGTGAGCAGGACACGGAAGGCGTATGAACTACAAATGACAGACAAAAGCGTAAGCGATTGAATTTCTCAGAATGTAAAATGTACAGCAGGAAAAACCACCGACTCAATGCTCAAAGTTCTTTACGAAAAGCCTAGAAGAAAGATATGATGCTCGACGAGTCCGTAGAGTGAGCAGAACCCACTGGGCTACTTTTGCACGCGGGATGAAGGAAAAAATATAAGATTTACCGGAGCCCGCTAGAATCACTCGACGATGAATGGGGCGACAGGTAATGTGCATTTGATACATAGTATCATCCATGAATCTCCGTCAAGTAAATGTGCATTTATTAACCTCGTGTAAACCAAGTTTAAACACATGCTGATTAGTTGTAACGAGGTTAAAGGGAAATCGGTCTTGAAATTATGTAATTATAAGTAATAAAAATTGTTCATCATGTTCTTTGAGCTAAAAGAACTCATTTGATAGGCCAGATACGTAGCAGTGACAAATAGAAAGCATACGGCGTCAATTCAAGTCCAAAGAAGCATGGCATTGTGGGTCGATTATCTTTTTGGAATATACGCCTCGACAGAAAAATTGGTGGAAGATGGTTGGGTCCCCACATCCAAGTTCAATCTCGGAAGAACAAAATGAACTGCATGTTGTTATTAAAGATCGCTGTTTTCTAATGGCTACCACCTTGGCACAAAAATGATTGTGGATTTTCTCGCCATACACTTAGTGGGCGACAGTTTTTTTTAAAAGATCCGTCACCAAGTCTAGCGCGCGGATGGCAGCAGCTGTTGCGTTCCATCCGTTTTCCTCGCATTTATCACCCGCAATGGTCTTCGTGCACTTCGCTTGCTGTTTCAGCAACCGCTTAAGGATTTCGTCTTCTTCATGAATGTCGTATAATGCAGGTCGAGTCGATTCTCCTCGCAATCTTGGCGATACCCGAGCTAAGGCGTCCACACGTGAATTGGGAGAAAGCATTGGAGAGTGGATTGAACTATCGCCTTTGCTTCCTGATCGACGGCATCACCAACGAAGGCGATAACCCCATCCTAGTACCAACATTTATTGTTGCGCGCCAATTCGAAAGACAAAGGTCTGAGGTGAAATTCTTTAAACCACTGCGTTAGGAAATATCTGACACGCTTATTCCTCTTTCTATGTTTAACGCGAAGCAGTTGCGGCACTTTTCCAATGTATCGACGAAAATAAAGTGCACAAAAGTGAAGTCAAAAGGAAAATACATTTTACTTCTAACAATTTTTATTGGCTCGTATTCATATCGTCATGTTTCTAAGCAATTCCACTACGAGCTGAGACCTGTTTACTCGAAGTTGCTATGCAGACTCATTTTCTGGCGCTCATGAATTGTATATGCCATGTTTGTTAAACGATGCATCATAGTCACGGGCCATTTAGGAAGTCTAATAGCAAAGAAAGCATTGAACTGTGACACTATGATCTTAGTGAAAAAACACTAATGAAGGCACACATGGCGCAGTCTGTTATAACCAAAAAGATTTTATCAGCGTTCTCGAATCCTGGCACAAACAATCCACATTCAATTCAACAATGCAATTTTAGGGAAAAAAAAAACTAAGGGCGCATATACGGTACGTCAGTCTCGACCGAATTGGTGTGCCACCTCATCGCGACATCAATCTGCCAAAGTCACTAAAGCTGAGTGATATTTCGGTCCCGAAACCAAGTTAGTAGACCTATCTTCGAAATCAGTGATTTCACGGAAAAAACCTGGTTTCTGATACGATCAGATTTGTATACTTAGAACAATCGATGACAGCCTTCGGTGGCGGGCAAAGAAGACAGCAGCGCGGCCTTCTCGGCATCCCAAGGAAAAAAACAGACTAACAACAAGCTAATGATATAGAAATTGCGCTTGAGCACACTTCATTCGTTGTGAATACGGGTCCGGTCATCCACAAAGTTCGTTTGCAACCCTAATAGTTAGCTCATATTGTATAAGTCCTTATATAATTCGATGATAAAGTGATGATCAGCTTTCTCACATCGGACAATATGGACAACTACCAACATCCCTCCAATGGGGACCTTGCTAAGGTGCCATGTAGCCATATGCCAGATAGCCTTGAATTAAATGTTGGCGAGGATGTCGCACGTTTTCAACAAGGTCTTTTTCGGGGTGATTCGGATAATTGAAATCCATTTAGATCACGTGGATTTAATTCGTCGCAAAATGTTTGCGCAGCAGCATTTTGTCAATACTCATTAGTTCCGAAGTACCATATGTCTCGCCTTCATCATTAAAGCTTATCTAGCCCATTTTCAAAAATTTCCATCTGTAACCAAGTCTTTTCAATCTCCAAATGCAGGTAAAAGAAATTGAATTAAAAAGACAACGAAATGCTTTGTGTCCTTAAGTTGTCACCCAGAATCGAAAGAAATCCGTGTTTTAAAATGACATTTTCAAGATCAAGGACTGAACATGGGCACGAAAAAACCGTAAGTGCAGCGCCACAAGTGATGACACCGAATCGTCGTTAAGCCGAGGACTAAATACAAAAACGCATTCCAGCTGTCGTTGGGCAAATTCTTCAAAGAAAAAAAAACAAGTATTGCAACTGAAACTTGACGGGCAATGCTCTTTCAAGAAAACCTCGACGCAGTCAGAAAATAGAATCATAGACATCGCTATCATGAAGAGCCGATAAAAATCCGAATACAGACGATGCGATGCAGTATTGTAAATTAAGTGAGAGAACATTGATGTGCCCTGTGATGCGGTGACTAATGCG